TAATTTATCTATAATTTAAAATGTTCTTACTATTTATAAAAGTTAATTGTTACCAGAAACTTAACTAAACGGTTGCTAAGGCTTGACCTTCCCTTTTCCCAGTTGAAGTAGAGGTCTCAAAGTACATTTAAAGACCTGTTAAAGCCGATTTCCCAGCCATAAATCAATCCCTAACAAGAGTTTCAGCAGATCAAAACTCACACACATAACATTTAATACAAAGCAAAATACTTAAAGAAAAAAACCAAAATGAATCCTTATTAACACACACACACACACACACACACACACACACACACACACACACACACACACACACACACACACACACACCGACAACACACTCCCCTGCAATAGTCATTGGCAGCGTAAGGGAGATTCCGAGCAGGAGGAACAGCGTCGCCCCAACACCACCGAATGGGAAAAGCTGGCCGATATGCTGGCCAAGGGCCATAGGTTTAGGCCCTACGAGAGCTTTGCCCGCAATCAAAATCAGTTTTCCGTCTACAAGGACTACACGAGCCTGAGGGATAAGCCCGGCCATTACGATGGACACTTTAGTGACGGCACCTCGCTATCGAGCACCCAGTCAGACCTCTCCAGCGGCCACTTGACACCAGCCCCGCCCAAGGGTCAGCGTGACTATGCCAAGTTCGTGGGCGCTGAGCAGCCGACGAGCGTGTCGCGTGCCAGTTCCAGGCTCTCAAATGTGGGCGGGGCTGGCACAGCCCCTCGAGCCTTCGACTATAATCCACAACGTGAGCGCATCAATCTGGGCACGCGAGGTGCCAGTCGCGTGGAGTCGGCGCGTCGCTCCCTGTGGGCCAGGAGCCAGCCCGACGTGCTGCCCGAAGAGCCTAGCTATAGTCCGGTGAGGCGCAGCAGCTTGGTCGCAGCACTGCGCCCAGTCGCCGATGCACCACAGCGGCCAATGAGCAGATCCACCTCAAACCTGCAGATGACGAGAAAGCAGAGGGAAGAGCAAAGGGACGCCATGCCGGGCAGCCGAAGGCACTCCGAGGTGAACGCAGTGAGACCCAAGCAGAAGGAGACCAAAGCAGCGCCACAGAAACCCGCGAGATCGAAGCCCACAGCCACACAGCCTGCTAAAGAGACCAAACCACTTGCCAAACCGCCAACTGAGTCCAGGCCTCAACTGGGTGCGACCTTCAAGTCCGCGTTGGACTCATCGCGCGACATCAGCTCGGCGCTGCTCCTGACCACGCCCTTAACTGCCACCTCACTGCTGCACAGCCCTAAAGCTGACAGCGGCAGTAAACCGCCAACGCCCACTGTGGCACGTGCCGGCACTTTTGTGGTGGAGCCGAAGCAAACGCCAGCTGTCACGCATGCCACACCTCTGCGACAGGCAACTAGGACAAGTGCTGGCCTTATCGCAGATGCCACTGAATCCGAGGAAGAGCGTGCACGCATCCTGCCCGAGTCGAGCACGGCTATGACTCAACGGACACTTGCCTCGCCTGAACGAACACCGCCAAATGCTGCCTCAGCCGTGACCAAATCTCTTCAATCCCCGTCCGCATCGCGTGCCCCGTCGCGCCTCTCCTCCAGCAGCAGCGGCACGGATGTGGTCATACAGCCGCTGAGTCATCTGAACACGCCCAGCGCCGTTTCGCTGTCGCCCGATGTCGTTGTCACGGAATACGATGACAGCGACTTGGAGGCGGCCTTGGCACAGCTCGCCGGTAGGCGTGGCTCGGCTGCAGCCTCCCTGCACTCCCAGCGCTCGGCCACGCGCAACTCGAACACCTCCACCGTGCGCGACTCGCGACGCACTTCACCCTGGCTCCGGCGCAACATGGACAACTATTGCAGCCAGGAGCTGAAAACTCATACAAGCTGTGGCGCTCTGGGCGTCTGCTCCTCCGCCCAGGGCCAAGGTGCCGGGCACCTGCTCGAGCGTTGTGAAATCTGTTGTAATGAATTTGTGATGAATTAATTTAGTGAACTAATGTAACTACCAGCTAACAGAAGGAAAAGCGAACTACACAATTCAAGCGAAATATATACAAAGAGCTAGTGACCGATGGGCGTGGCTCGGCTGCAGCTACTTCTCCATTCGCAACAACTTTGTTCTATATATTCTCATATACATAGTACTTACTACCTCCTAATGGCTTTCAAGATCTTTATTGATTTGAGAGCATTATTTTATTGCTTGAAGAGTTGGCTATTGAAATTAAAAAAAAAAAAAAAGTATTAATTAAATCCCAAACTCGATGTATATTATATTTTAGATTTTGCATAATTAAAATGATCTCCATTTAGCGTACAAAAATTAATTTTTTCTATTAAAAAAAAATTAATTTTTTTCTATTAAAAAAAAAAAAAAAAAAAAAAAAAAGTATTAATTAAATCCCAAACTCGATGTATATTATATTTTAGATTTTGCATAATTAAAATGATCTCCATTTAGCGTACAAAAATTAATTTTTTCTATTAAAAAAAAATTAATTTTTTTCTATTAAAAAAAAAAAAAAAAAAAAAAAAAAAAAAAAAAAAAAAAAAAAAAACAATTAAAAGGATCAAAATAAACGTTAATAAAAAAAAAAACAATTTGATAAAAAAAAACCTATAGAGAAAATGAAATGATTCATATCGATACCACAAATATAATTACTTATGCTTATTACAAGGATTTTCTAGTCGAGCATGTTTCCAATTTATATTCCAAAATTTTAATAGGTATAAAATTAAATTTTTAGTAAGAGTTAAGAATACATATTAACTAAAAAATTTTTGTATATGCATATTATATGCCTATTATTAATATATGCAAAAAAAAAAAAAAATTATATTTTATTGATTTAAAATTTCTTTAATAATCATAACATGCCCACTAAAATCTATCTTCCAAAAACTTCCAAAATATATTTTTTTTTAAATTCTTTTATAAAATAGCTTTATAGACCTAGTACAAATATAATTAATAATAATAAGTAACCCAACGATTTTATAAAGCCATAAACAAAACACATTTCATGACCACAAACTACAATAATAAAACGAATTCCAAGAAATTAGAGTGAATATATAACACAATTATTTTATAAAAATACTTTAAAATATATGACAAAATTCTATTTACTGAAAATTTGCACGTAACTCAAATAACTTGAATCGAAAACTGGAATATAAAATAATAAAACTCAAAGTATAAAATTATAATGTAGAATTGTGTCTAATTGGAATCCAATACCAACAGATCTCTCTTAAGCATATATTCCCACTGCTAATCGTAGCATAACATTTAATGTCGAATGGAGACTAATTGGCATATAATGCCAACAAATTACTGTTATGCTCGTAGAGGCTCTGCTGTAAGTGCCTAACATTTAACTAGCATACTATTAACTGTATTATTAACCTGCTTTTCCACTTCAGTTCCCCGAAAGACATATACCCATAGTAAGTAAGTAAACAAACCAAAGACAACAACTCCATGGTTAAAAGTTCAATTATTGAATTATTACCGCTTTACAGCCTCCGACTGTGTACTTAAATTTGTTAGACATTAGATCTGTTTTGTGTGTTGTCTAATTGATGACTTAATATAACAACAACAAAATTGAATTGTTTATCTTTGCCGTTCACTCAATTATTCTGCCACTTTGGTGCATGTGTGTGTGTGTGTGGGAGAGAGACTGAGGAGGGGAGCTGTGGCAGTTAGGTCTTTATGTTTGTTATGTTTCATGTTTCACGTACCACATGCGCCACGTCTACCGTCCGTGACTTAATGAACTATTAACAGCAATGATAGTAATTTGTTGTAGCAGCCGCAGCCGCAGCCGCAGCTCCGGCCACAATCGCAGCAGCAACAAATGAAATTGCTTTCAGGCAACAGCAACAACAACAACAACAACAAACAAACAAGCAACAACAAGTTGTCTTCATGGCACTTTTTGGCAAACAAATAGACAATTCAACAAAGCGACATGCAGACAAATGACTACAGCAACAAAACGAAAATAAAAAGGAAAAAAGGAAAAAGAAAAAAAGCAAGGCAAACTAAACGAATACTCATACTCGTACTCAGCGATATTCATATACTCGAATAGTCAAGCATTTTGCGGGGGTGTCAGATCGTTAGACCCCGTCGCACCTGTAGCCTATAGCAGCAGCAGCAGCAGCAGCAGCAGTCGTCGTAGCAGCAGCAGCAGCCGTCGCAATTGGCTTTGCAACTATTTTGGCACGATTTTCAAATTACGTACATTGACTCGCAAAATGTTTGGTTTATGCCGCAATTAATTTCCAGCCGGAAGAAGCAGCAGCAGCAGCGGCAACAGCGGCAACAGCGGCAACAGCAGAGGCCGCAGCGGCAGAGGCACAAGTGGCCCCCAGTTCAGTTGGAGGTGGAAAAGTTGAAGGTCTTCTGTTACTGTTGAAGTCTCTTAACATGTTGCTGGTGCTGCTGTTGTTGTTGTTGTTGCTCTGGCGTGACATTGAAAGTGAAAGAACAAGTTTTATACGTTGGCAGCGGGGCATTTCTATTTTTTAATGACGCTGACTTTTACATGGCAACTGACTAGCTGCCTAGCTGCCTAGCAGCTGAGCTGACTGACTGTCTCAGCTGTTGCTGCTGCTGCTGCTGCTGCTGGTGTGGTTCATTGAACGCATGCGTGGCAGCCACAAGTGGCAGCGGCGTCCACAAGTAACGCTAATGATCTATGAAGTGTAAGTGCTTTGTACTTTTACTTTCATTTATCATAAATGGAGGCGTCATTTGTGCTCGACACTGTTGAAATTAGCAATGCGCCCAAAAAATACATTTTAGCACTCCATTCAAAGCTGTTGCGGTTGCTGTTGTTGCTGTTGTTGCCGTTGTTGCCGTTGTGGTAAAACTAGCTTTTAATCAAATTTACATGCGCCAACAATGTTTTTTGTAGCCATACGCACTGTGGGCTGTGCCACAAAAGCAACAACTGCAACAACAGCAGCAGCAACAAGTCTTTTTCTTTAGTGTAAAATTGATTTATGCAATTGTTTGTTAGCCACCAGCTGATTTGTTTATATGTGCAACGACAGCAACACGGCAACAAGTAACAGCAGCAGCAACAGCACCAGCAACAACAGCAACAGCAACAACTGCAACCAGGCAAATCAATAAGTTTATGCAACATGTGGCTGATTGTAGATTTTTGAGTAGATAAAATCAAAAAGACAGCCAGAAGACAATGGCGGTAACCGCGTTCACAGGCTTCCGCTACAAGTTGTTACCATTTCAGCAACAACAGCAGCAACAGCTCAGAGTTAACAGCAACAGGTAAAGCTGAGCAGAAACGGCAAAAGATAAGCAACAGCTAACAGCAGCAGCAGCTAGGAGCAATATCAACAGCAACAGCTAACAGCAGCAGCAAACAGCAATAGCTAACAGCAGAAACAGTTAACAGCAGCAAGAGCTAACAGCAGCAGCTACATCAACAGCAGCTAGGAGCAATATCAAAAGCTAACACCAACACCTAACAGCAAGAGCAACAGTTAACAGCAAAGGCTGACAGCAACAGCAACAACTAGGAGCAACAGCTAATAGCAACAGCTAACAGCAATAACAAAAAACAACAACAGCTGAAAATAGCTAGCACTTAACAGAATAATCTAATAACAACCATCAAATAGCGCCACATAACAGTAACAGCAAACAGCTTGGAGCAACAGCAAAGAACAACAACAACAGCACTTAACAGAAGAATTGAAAAGCATCTGCGACACTTGACAGTAACAGTTAACAGCATTAATAGCTAACACCACTGTTAACTCTAAAACTCCTACTTGCTTTAACATTTTTAGACCAAAAGAAAAAATATTTGAGAAAAAAAAAATTGGAATTCAGCAAAACTAAAATACGAAAAATTGAAAAATAAAAGGCGCATGCGAATTTTCAATTAATATTGCAACTGCAACTGCAACTTGGATGTTGCAACAGCAGCTAGGAAAACGCACTGCGTCTGTCTGACTTGGCAGACCTGGCCAAATAGCAATCATTTGTTAGCCAAAAATAAAAAGCAAACGAAAAAAAAAAACAAAAAACAAACTTAAAATGCATTTCTACAATTGGCGGCTGCTTTCGTTCGTGGCTTTTTGGCTAACATTTTGCATAACTGCGGGTCAAGACGGAAATGGAAGACGTTCGCCAGCCATTAATAATTTTTATTATACGCTTTGGCTTTGGCGCTTTGGCTCGTTGGGTCTCTTTGGCGACGTGGACATCTTCAATGCGTTTCGAGTGCCTTTTGTTTTTAATGGAAACGTGCCACACAAGCCAACGACTCGCCACCAAATGCCACATGCCACATGCAACACATAAACATCTGCTTTTTAACTGCGCCTTCTGCCTTTCGCAGCTATTTGGGAGTCTGGCTGGCCTTTTTTTTATTATCAGTAGCCGCCGCATAATCCAAATTAAATTGTCAAAAGAAATGACAATTCAATATGCGAGACAACGGCAAATCTTGTTAAGCGAATGCTCAAGAAAATTGGAAAGAAACCCAAAGCACTCCGTCATCTTGTCTCACTCCTCTCTGTCTCTCTGTCGGTCAAACTCTCTCGCCGTGGTCGAAATGTCAAATTAAACTGTCAGGGCGACTTTTAGACCATTTTTTGTTTTTTTTTTTTTTTCTTTTTTTTCTGTTTGTCGTTTTCGGCTATTACATAAGCTACTTATCAGCTGTGATAACTGCGGGGAAAAACTCCAACAGAAATTACTATGTAAACATGTGAAATATTAATGGACAGCTCCATCAACGAGGGCAGTATGAGAAGGATGACAGGCAATCATAAATAATTATATATCTTCCTCTCTTTATCAATCTTTTCTTATCTCTACATTCAATCAGGTCAACTTCAGTGACCACCCTCGCATGGCTGTTTGCGTTGGTGTCGCTGTGTGTGTGCTGGCCGCGTAGGTGTCTTGTGCGGTCAAGCGCATAAATCAGCGCGACAGTTAAGCAGACAT